CGTGACCTACTACACAATTAGCCTATTTACCTCATTTTGAAAAAAAATATAAGTAGGCGTATGAGATCACGATGCTGTGTCTGTGAATGCCTACTTATCAACTTTTGAATGCCTGAACCAGTCTTTATGAAACCTGGCCTGTACATCATGGCACCTGAGCCCATCTCGTCGGCGTATTTCATAAATCCCTCCCATCAGTCTGTGTGTCTATGTGTATCTACCTATCATAGCTAGGCAACGGCTCGGTAAGCACGTTCCCGCGGCAGTGAATGCAAAAAAACAATAGAATTGCTGGACCGCATAGTTTTCTATGCGGTCCGTATCGTATAAAAGAAAAGTAGGCGATTTGAGAATGTTCATAAGAGACAACCCCATCTTCTTCTCAGAGAGGATGTGACTATGACTGCAATGATTCAGTTGAAAAAATCTATGGTCTCGATCCTGAAGGGGCTGAGCACCAAGACGAGCTGATTGCCAGGAAAGCGTCAGTCGAAAAGTGACTTTGACTTCTGCCAAAATCTAGTTTAATTCGTGCGACATGTTAACGGCAGACAGTTCGTTGTTAAGGTAACCACACATTCGGTAATTTCGGTGCTTTCATTTCGGAGTTACCTTGTTTAACGCGCCATAGCTCAAGCGGTTAGTCGCTGGCTCCCCACCGCTTCCACACTAATTGCTCCACAATCGCCCTCACCTATCATCTTGGGCTGGTACAATAGGTCAGAAGTGGCCGCAGTACAAGGGACTTAGTCCCACCCTACTAGCAATAAAAAATACCTTGTTTATGCGTTTCAGAAGCACTTGTTTAGTCCCGCGTTTTGTGTGATGTGACGGTATGTAACCATAGGCGGCCAGCAACACGTCACTAGCTTCCAGAGTAACTGTGCGTATACAGAGATCCCCCAAGTAACCTCCCTTGCGTGGCGAGAGGATGACAGCGCGAGATAGCAAATGATTCTTCCGCGTACGAAATGACAAATCTTACCGAAGCACATGACATTGAGTTCATTTAACTCGAAATTCTCGTTGTGGTTTTGCATGCGGAAAAACCAAGCTCTGTAACAAGACTTCCTGCTTTATAACGAACAGCCTGGAAATGGTTTCGCGTTTTCCCGCGCCCTGGACATGCCTCTGTCATTGGTTGGGGATCTTTATGAACGAAGTGCCGGGGGAATATTTGGACTGAGTTAGCTAGTCGGTATAGAGATGGGTTAAAGGCTGGACGCTTTGGAGCTCGATTCCCAGCAGGGACAAGAGTTGGTTTCCTCCACTTCACAACTTTCAGACCAGCTGTGGGGTCCACCCAGTCTCCTAGACAATGGGTAATGATGAGGGGCTCTTTCCTTGGCGGTAAAACAGCCGGGGCGTGAAGCTGACCACTCATATCTGTATAGTGCATAGGTCAAGAACTGTGGAGCTATACCTCCACTCCTCCATGTGTGTTCATGGTATATTGATTTATTAATTTAGCACACGGACAGCTTCACTTTTTCCTTATTCGTAAAATGTGACTAAAAGATCTTTGAGGCAAGGAAGACGATGAGAACACAATTAACTATTATTGCCAAATTCAACTGCAATTATTCTTTTTAGCTACGTTTAGTCATACCTTCCCAAGACACTCGGCGCACACGTCTGTTATTTAGCGGTGCTGTCAGTATGTAAACTATACCGCGTCGACGACAGGATGCTTAAGGAGTGTGGAACAGAGAATTGGCCGGGAAACCGAAGTATTCGGAGAAAGCTGCTCCAGTGTCACTTTGTCCACCACAAATCCCTAGAGACTTGACCTTGGATCGAACCGTTCTGTCGCTGTGGGAACCCGGCTACTTCTCGTCTTTCCATCTTGTCGGCCCTTGTTTTGTCCTAGTCACAGTTGTTAATCCTGCTGTTAAAACAGTAAGTTCCGGGAAGAACTAACTGTCTACTTTTCTTTGATACTACACATAAGTAAAGCTATCCCTGTAACAGGCCGTGGAAGCCCATAGGGTTGTGAGATGTTGAGGGTCCCACATTATGTAGACAGTCGGCTCACAGATGTCGGTAAGGCTGTCAGCCTTACGCGCCGGCCGCCCTTTAACCCCAGGAATATTCCTGGTACTCATTTCTGTTAGAGGCTGAGTCGACCTCAGGGCCATAGTGCGGCTGGAAGGATTAGATGAATTAAGAAATCCACCTCCTCAGGATTCGATCCCTCGACCTTCCGGCTTGTAGCATAGTGCCTCAACCAACTACGCTACCGCGTGCCCCCTGATACTATACATACCGAATAGAAAACGAAAAAATTAGGGGGTACAGAGACGCAGACACAAGGGCGATCTCTTAAGGTTATAAAATTAGGGAGAGATACAAAGACAGGCAGATGGACACCGACGGATACACAGACAGCAAGGTGATCTCATAAGCCTCTTTTTATTTTTCAAAATAAGGAAAGTAGGGCAATGATTAGAGCCATTGGATTTCAACGGGTGTTAGTACTAGTAAACATGTGCTGATATAAGTCAGGACATAATCTGCATCATGCAGGACCATCAAAGTATCACTGAAATATAGACAGTGACCATTGAACACCCCTTTAGTCCACATTACCACACTGGGCTTAAGGCAAGCAATATTTACGTGAAATATTTAAAACGTAAACGTTTATTGTTGATCTAATTAACTTCACGCAGCTGAGCCCTTCTTGAGAAGCTGTCAATTATGCAGCTACTCAAGAACTTCCCAGCATTTTATGCAATCTGAAGGCTCATTATCGTGTTCACAAGAGCCCTCCACTGGTCCCTATCCTGAGCCATATGAATCTAGGCCATACCACACCATCCTATCTCGCCAAGATCCGTTTTAATATTATCCATCCACCTACATCTTGGTCTTTCCTAGTGCTCTCTTTCCGGTCTGGCTTTCCCACCAGTATCCTGTATTGAATTAATCTTCTCCCCATTCGTGCTACATGCCCTGCCCATCTCATCCTCCTCGACTTGATCATTCTAATTATACTTGGCGAAGAGTACAAGTTAGGAAGCTCCTAAATACTGGGATCTGTGAACAAATGTAATGGCGTCACATTTCGCTTGCCACCCTTGCACATATTAACAGAAGTATACAAGATCTGTGAAAGGGTTTGGGGGTGGGGGTGGGGTGAAATATGCTGTCCACCATGTTAACCGCCCGAAGCTTGTCTGTGTATGAAGCTCTTCAGGTAAAGGTTAAGTTCCTGTGCTTAATCGCCATGAAGAGGTATGGGGGAATGGAGGTATAGCTCCATCACTCTTGACCTGGGCATTAGGTGGAGGCGAGTGGTCAGATTCACACACTGGTCGCTTTACCCCCGGGTAAGAGCTCCCGGTACCCATTGGATAGGAGCATGGATGGGTCCCAGAGTTGGTCTGGATGATTTGAGGAAGAAAATATCTTGCCCCTGCCGGGAAGCGAACCTTGGCTGTCCAGCCACTAGCATAGTAGCTGTACTGACTACCTAAATAAACCTATGGTTGAGGTTGATCTGTAGGTAACGTTCACCTCTTGAATTTGGGAGTTGATGGGTTCGAATTAATTTCTGGATATTACGTCGATTAGGCAACGACTTCTTCCTTCCGAGTCCCTTCCTGTTCAACATTCATCCTGCCATCCCATGCCATATAGTCTAGATACTGCAAGTGTAGTTATGTGTGAGCAGGCCCGTACTGAGAAGAAGTGAGGAGTTGAGACCCTAACGAAATGTAAAGTTGTCCCTGTGCTTAACTAATTAAGCACTACGCCATGAAGGTGTATGGGGGAGTGGATGTATAGATCCATATTTCTTTACCTCGGCACCAGCTAAAGGTGAATTGTCAGATTCTCGCCCCGGTCATCTTACCCCCCGAGGAAAGAACCCCTGGTACCCATTGAATAGGAGGTTGGGTGGACCCCAGGGTCGGTCTGGACGACGTGGAGAAGAGAAAATACCTCATCCTATCGGGACTCGAACTCCGACCCCTCGGTCGTCCAGCCCGTAGTCAGTCCCTGTAACGACTACGCTATCCTGGCTGCTCCTAACGAAATGTAGTTAGAGAAAGGTTCGTAGTGAAAGAGCTATACAAATGCAAACAGTGTGGATTTATGAATCATACTGTACTGACATTTGATAACTTTTTTTCTTCAAAATACTCTTCCAAATTTAAAGTACATGTACTGTCTTTGTGTTTAAAATTCATCAAAGAGTTACCTAAAAACAAACTTGTACACTGTCACGTGTATGAGTTACTATAGACGGTATTTGGCTCGGTAATTGGATTTGTTGCCGGTCACGGTAGCCGAGCGGTCTAAGGCATGTACTATCTTCTCTCGCTAGGAAACCGGGATCGTGGGTTCGAATCCCACTCAGGTACAGGTAGAGGGCTTGCGACGAACTGATCACCCGCCCAAGGAGTCTTACCGAATGTATAAGATGTAGAAAAACCCAAGTGAACGGAGAAGTTCATGGAGGGAGGCCTAGGCCCACTGGGGCTGTAATGCCAAAGAAAAAAAAATGGATTTATTGAACACTTACAGTTCGTAACTACAAGTAATTATAGCGCTGTCGCTAATTGACACACTCTTCAGTTCACTACACCACGCAGTAAAACTTCTTAGTTTGCTGTAACGGTTATCGACGCCGTAGCTTCCTCAGCTGTCATGTTCATACTCTTAGTGGCCGGCGAGTAACTCCTCTTCTGACTGCCGTCTCAAGAGTCTCGTCGTAATCGCAGCTGCTTCTCGTTAGATAGCATCTCCACGGACCACATAGAAAACACATTTCCCAACAATCGAATCCCAGTGTCATCTGTTTACGTTCGGATGACACAGGAGTTGCTCGTTTCGGTATCGTGTCCTCCTCATCTTCCCCCCTCCCCCGCCAGAGGCATCCGTGTCGTCACTCGTTTACCGTTATTCTATAATTCCATGTACCACGTGATTTCCCCTTCCTTGTTTAGAAAGGGGGTGGGTTGATTTAAGAGAGTGGTCTCTGCCGGTCTCTGCTTGCCAGCGGTTGGGCTAGGTACGTGTATGTTGCAAAATTCTGTTGGGACTCTTCGCTCCGGCCGTTTAAAGCAAGGGGTCTCCTCGTAGCAAGAGTAAGTAAGTGTCTTATTCTTTTTTTCTGAAGATGTAACGAGAGTTTTGTTCGTGTTTTATTATTGTTTGTTTGGGCTTGCAGCTGCCCCATTTAGTGTTGTTGTACGACTAGATAATGTGGTAACATTTGCGATCTGGGTTGTCTCCCATTGTTACGTGAGTTTGATCATTTTCTGGGTCTGGCGTAAACAGAGCGCTCCGTGTGGCTACCTCACGTATATTTTTCTTTTATTGGGTTGCAGTCTGCACCACCAGGGTGGTCGTGGGCATAGACTCATATGCATACCTGAAGTGCTAACGTTAATTGTTTTAAGTCTTATTTATTTTTTACTGTAATTAACTGCTATTTTGGAGATTCACGCCTTTCTTACCAAAATCTAAGCTTCGACCCCCATTCCATCTGGGGAGTACTGAGAGTACAACGGCGGAAACAGATATAAATGCAGTGCCCCCCCCCCAAACTGTAGGGTAAAGATGGGAGAAGCTCTTACGAAGTCGTCCAACCCGTTGCTATACCGACCGAGTTGTCCCTGCCCCAACGCCAGTGGGACATTGAAACGTACATACATAGAACTTTTCTTCTGATGGTTGCCTATACAAGGCGTGATTTACCCTTTAGATGGACTTAGCTCAGAGTAAGCCATGGATAGGCCGCGCCATAGCTCAAGCGGTTAGTCGCTGGCTTCCCACCGTGGCGGCCCGGGTTCGATCCCGCGTCTGGTCAAGTGGGATTTGTGGTGGACAACGTGGCGCTGGGGCAGGTTTTCTCCGAGGGCCTCCAGGCCCTCATGTCTCAGTCAATTGAAACCCATGCGTCTGACATGTTTCTTCGTATCTGGAAAGGGCCAAATTGGCAGTGTGCCAAATCTATGCTGCCCGAGGATCAGTGTCTCAGTTCGGTAAACCCTCGCTAGTCCGGTTACAGCTAATTCATATGTCGGATAATCCGGATCGACATCTGAAAAATTAAAGCGCTGTTCACAGTTGAGTAAAAAGTAAAAGAAAGTAAATTTGTTGTCCCTGTGCTTGACTAATAAGCACTACGCCATGAAGACGTATGGAGGAATGGATGTATAGATCACGTTTTCATGACTTCGGCACTAGTTGGTGAGAGGTCAGCTTCACGCTTCGGCCACTTAACCCCCCGGGAAAGATCCCTCGCTGCTCATTGGATAGGAAGGTGGGTGAGCCCCGGAGCCGGTCTGGACGACGTGGAGAAGAGGAAATTCTTGACCCCACGGGAACCCGAAATCCGACCCCTCGGTCGTCCAGCCCTTAGGCAGTCGCTATCCCGGCTCCCGTTCACAGTTGAGTACATAATTTAAAAGACACATGGCTTTAAGAAGGCAGTTGAGACACTTGTCTGATGAGACAAAAGTGGACAGTTTCTTCAAACCTGCATTATTACGTTCAAAAACAATTACTCCTTCTGGGTCTTCTATCGATGAATATATGTACTTACTTTTTGTAGTTTTTAAATAAAGGCTCTTCAGTGATATTTTTGGTATTTATATTTATCACAATAGACCACTGTAGGTCGCGGTGCAAGGGCCGAGAAGGCCCACCCCTTATACATACATTCATTATACATTATGTATATATAATATAATTACATTTTACATTTATTTCTGTTCTAAGTTTTTTTTTTCTTTTAGAGCTACTTTTTTTTTGGTTCNCCCAACCTTGACCGTTGCATCATTCCGATGTTGCCTCCCTAACCCCCCCCCCCAATTAATCCTGCTTATCTAGGGTTTTCTGTGTTTTAATCTGACGCTCCCTTGATGAGAATGAGAAGAGGCTTTGCTGGTTCCCCAACCTATAAATATGCGACTTTTGAATGTGATTTTGTGATATTTATTTTAAGGCGATTATTTAACGACACTCATTATCGAGACGGTATGACGTCTAAATTTAACAACAAAGAATATGTCTGCCAGTGAATCATAAATATCCAGTGAAGCCCCTATTTCATCCTCCTTGACTTGAGCAATAAAATTGACCCATATCGTTACGCCGAAATTTATTTGAAATATTTCTTGAAACAATTGCATATTTAATTGTATATTTAATGCAATGCAAAGGAACATTTGTATATACTTCTGTGGTGGTTATTTCTGCCCTCACAGTGATAAGTGTGCTGCTGATTTGCTCTGTGAGCAATGGAGTCGTCTCTTTCCTCCATCTCTTTATTCTACCGCATTCTTTCCGTTTTACTTGTGGGCAAAGAACGAAAAAAAGTTGCCATTCTCCTTTTTCTTACCATAAGCCTTCCTTCTCGATTTCTTGCCACGCCTTTCCCCTCTTTCAGCTGTATACATTTGCCCCATAAATCTCTTTCTTTTTTTTGATTGTAATTTATTTTTCGGTATCCTTGTTCTAAACATTAATTTTACACAACGAAACGACTGTAATCATTTCTCTTTTAACTCTGCTGAAACTGTTTCATTTACAGTGTAGGACCTGAGGTTCCCACAGCGGTGGTTATGAAGAGTTCTCTCTTCTGGGTTACAGCGCTGTATAGGACCTGAGGTTCCCACAGCGGTCGTTATGAAGAGTTCTCTCTTCTGGGTTACAGCGCTGTATAGGACCTGAGGTTCTCACAGCTGTGGTTATTGAAGAGTTCTGTCTTCTGGGATTTAGCGCTATGTAGGATCTGAGGTTCTCACAGCGGTGGTTATGAAGAATTATCGAAGAGTTCTGTCTTCTGGGATTTAGCACAATGTAGGATGTGAGGTTCTCACAGCGGTGGTTATGAAGAGGCCATCTTCTGGGATTTAGCGCTATGTAGGATCTGAGGTTCTCACAGCGGTGGTTATGAAGAATTATCGAAGAGTTCTGTCTTCTGGGATTTAGCACAATGTAGGATGTGAGGTTCTCACAGCGGTGGTTATGAAGAGGCCATCTTCTGGGATATAGCGCCGTGTAGGACCTGAGGTTCTCACAGCGATGGTTATGAAGAGTTCTCTCTTTTGGGATGGACACGAGTTAGAGTAGTTGGTTAAGGCACTATGCTGGAAGCCGGAAGGTCGTCGATTCAATTCCCGGTGAGGTCTTTGAATCTTTTTAAATTGACCTAATCCTTGCAGTCACTCTGTGGCCGCGGGGTCATTTCAGCCTCTAACAGAAATGAGTACTGGGAATCTTCCTGAGGGTTAAGAGCAACCGGCGCGTGAGGTTGACAACCTCACCACCAGCTTTGAACCGATTTTGTATAAAATGAGGGAACCTTGACGTCTCACAGCTCTACACAGCCTACACGGCCTGTTATGGTGATAGCTTTACCTTACCTTTATTATCATCATCTTGGATGTATCGTCGTGTAGTCCGTTGAAAGGCCACAGACGTTTCGGAGTAACGTATCTTCTCCATCTTCAGGTGAGAGCAGGGTGGTCCGTTTTCCGCAGTCTTTCACTCTGCTTACATGTTCGGCTTATTCTTCGACGTTAATGATGTTCCTCCGAAACGTCAGGTGGCTTTCAACGGACTACACGGCGTTATATCCAAGAAGGAAATATTTTTCGTCTCCAAATTCTCTGAAAAATTAATTTCCCAACAATTGAATATTTCTTGCTTGAAATTTTACATTTGTGTCTCTTATAGCGGACCGTGTTTTTGGCATGGTATATTAGAGTGGGTTTAAAAATGTGCTTCGTAGGTTAGTATTTTGGGTTGTTTTGCAACATCTCTCTTCCGTAATATTTCTTTTTTAATATAAGTGTGTTTTAAAGTGTTTTGTATTCTGTTGATCCTTCTGTCGACTTTCCCTTATCCGTTTTCCAAATGAATATAGTAGCGTGTTCAGTAGTTGCTATGCAACGACTGCGAGATGGGCGGATATACCAGGGCCGTATCTGGGCAATGATCCGTAATCACATTCCCGTTGCTAGGTAGCAGATTCTTAATAATGCAGCAGTTGGACTACAACAACGGAGTTGTGTTTTCTACATACATATACCCATCTGGACACTGTAGGTTGAAGGTAAACTTGTTCTTAAATTAAAAATCATGCCATGGGGCAGTCGAGGTATATTAGGAGGTTGTCTCAACTCCGTTACTGATCTGGACGCTGTTGAGTCCAGCATGTAGCTTAGTCACTATATTTACTGAGGTATCCCGGAACCTTACATACCGGACCTCTCACGTAAAAATATTCCCCGGTTAATTCCTTAGAGCAGTACTGGGTCGTGTTCCCGTATTCCGTAAGACAAAAATCCTAATGTGAGTCACAACAACAGCCCCAACAGAGTCCAAAAGGCTAGGTACAAGGTTACACGGGAATTCTGCATACACCATATGATAACCTTCCGACAAGATTCCCACTACACCAAACTTGCAACCCGACTAAAGGGGAGATGACGCGTGTGAACGTACAAGAGTTCATAACATGGTACCCACGTAAGAAGGAACAAGACAAGAGAAACCAGTATACCAGCGAAATAACAGATATACACATATATATCAATCTTAATTTAACCTTCAACTAGATATAAAGTAAAAAGAAAAAGAAAGTAAAGGTATCCCTGTAGCAGGCCGTGGAGGCTCATAGGGTTGTGAGATAAAATTCCCACATTTTTTAGACAATTGTCTCATAGATGGCGGTAAGGTTGTCAGCCGTACGCGCCGGCCGCCCTTTACCCCCCGAGAATATTCCTGGTACTCATTTCTGTTAGAGGCTGAGTCGCCCCAGTGACATAGTGCGGCCAGAAGGATTAGGTCAATTGAAAAAAACCCAATGACCTCATCGGGATTTGAACCCACGACCTCCCGGCTTGTAGCATAGTGCCTGAACCAACTACGCTACCGCGTGCCCCAGATGTACAGTAATTTATCTAATTATATCTAACCTCATAATCGGACTAAGAAGTAGATAATACCAAGAGTCTAGTTATCAGGCATAATATTACATGTTATATTACTTACTTACTTACTCATGGAGCTGAGACCTTCTGGAGGAGTCGCCAATTCTGCAGCTACTCAAGAATTTCCCAGCATTTTATGG